ATCAGATATCGCGTTCGACGCGTACAGCAGAGTCGTTCATGCTATCATGCGAAGCGCGACGAATGACACGTCGCGTCGAGAGGTTGGGTGGGGAAGTCGTGGCGTACGCCATGATCGTCGCCCAAGGGTGCTCGGCTCTCCTCACTGCGCTTGCAGCTGGCATCCTTCGTCCACGCATCACAACTCAATCCGCTGCTATAGGCCTCCGATCGCACCAGCCGCCTGCCCATCGACGTCCCGCGTTATTTCTATTGACATCGTCTTGAAGATGCTCGAGTGGCTCGGTGACGATGGCCGCTGGCCTGTCCCCGCTTAACCACATTTCTTTTCTGGTCACGGAAACTCTATCAAGCACAGCAAACACATGCAGTATTCACACCGCAGGTTTTGTAATCATAGCTCGTATGCTGCTGATGATGAAGCATAGGATCTTGAGCACGGCAGCAGCATCTGCGCTGGAGGCTTGCTCATCTTGGCCCATCACGCTGACGGTCGTGCCACCGCCATGTATGAGAATTTAGTCCTAAGGCTCTGACCACTGCACGTACGCATTGCTTGACGCCTTCAAAACGTCCCGAGCGCACGGCATGCGGCAACAACACCCAGGTCACCCGAGACAGTCTTCCCGCCATACAGTCTTGTCCAAGGCATACTACCACACGAATCTGCTCGGACATTATCTCGAGGTCCACAAGTCTTGGGCCAGCAGATTACATTGTGCAGCATTGCTGTAGCTAGAGAATATGTTTGCTTTGATACGCAGGACTCATGCATTACAAATAAGCACTTTGCATTGCATATGCTATCGCGGCCACCAGCTAATTCCCCGGCTCTAAGTTATGGGTGTACGACCAGACAATCGATTACCATGCGACCTGATGGAGTATGCAGGTGACCCTTGACTGCATATGTACAATCGCAACCGCGCGTCCTTTTCCCCCATCAGTGAGCATCCCGCTTCTGCGGACACGATGCAATCTTCATGAAGCACACCGCATTATATCTTTGAACGCTTTGTTGACAGGAATCCGGAGCTATCATCTTAATGTGAACAATATTTGGTCGTTTACTTCGTTAGACTGTCTCACTCATCTCTAGGCCTGGATGTTGTGGTGACAAGCAGCTTCTTCGACTTTCGCAGCACCATGGAGGTATCAGTGGTGCCTCACTTTACAACGAGTAGGCTGCTCTGAGTCAGTAAAGCTTGTTATCCTCAACGTCTTGCCCAGTTGCTGTGTCAGGCGTCACACTCGGAGCTGCGGGCTCACACTTCTCACTGCCAGCTTCCATCTCGACAGCCTCCTCTCTGAATTTTCTTCGATCACTTCGTTTAAGTGCAACGTCTTTCTTAATATCTCCATTTCAACATTTTGTTTGCTCTTTACAATGGTTTCACCCTCACTCGTCCTTTCCAGGGCGGTTGGTTGCCTTGCGCTTTCCTCCATACAACTCAAACAGGAAACCACGCTAGTAAAGTGAGCGCGCTTGTCCAATCATCGCAGACCGCAAATCACGCTCACCACGACTCTAATCTCCCCAAGCAGTCGACACATCACCTGTATCAATAATTCAGACTTTGACAATCACTATTTTACATCAGCCTCAGCTCAACTACTCTCGCGATTCTCTCCCAGTCGTTCGAACTATCACCAACATGAGTAGCACCGGCAGCATTAGCAGCGAGGCGAGCATAGCGCGGAGTGCCGACAAGGACGACACAAGCGACAGCTCGTTGCACCTTCCCGACACAGAACCGACAGATGACAAGGAGCAAGTGGAAGGCGATGAATCCATAGTCGATGGGGCTGGTCGCAAGGAGGATGCGTCTGACAAGGAGCAAGAAACAAGCGCTACGATCGATGATGCGATCGCATCCCACAACGAGAGGATCGGCCTGAATGAGGTGAGCCTGGAGGGTTCTGATTCGTTAGTTACAGTAACTATCCATTGTTCTGCATGCGTGGTATCTGACTAACCCTGTATTAGCCTCAGCAACTCTGTCTGGTTGCGGATAGCATCCTCGGCTCTATGAGTGGAGTGGAAACGGCCATGCTTCAGCTTCATGAATACGTCAAGACCGAGAACCAAGACCGCAAGCCGATCCACCAGTGGGCCAGATTCGAAGGCTATCGCAGCATTGATCGTGCGGTTGCCAATCTCGACGAAGCAGGGGCCAAGTTCGAGGATGTGCATCTTCCTGCTAGCTTCGTCAAGACATATCTGAGTCGGGCTACCGAGATGTCACTTACTGTCAGCAAGGCCGCTGTATTCTGCATGGGTGCGATGAACGAACAATTTACCCACTACATCGAGGAGACCAACGTATCAATTGACGCCGAGGCTAAGATTACGGAAGAGCTCAGGAAGCTTCTCAAGCATGGATCCAAGGCAACATATAGCGTGTATGCGGCTCTCGATTTGCTCCGCAACAAGCTGCATACCGACGAGTCCAGTCATAGCCGCGATATACCCATCATCGAAATGCTGATCGCAGAGAGCGAGGCTCGCTTGAGCGCCTCACGCGAGAGCTCCTGGTGGAATATTGCCAAAGTAGTGCTCGGAGCAGCGACAAGTGCCGTGATAGCCCTCGCAGCCGCACACAAGTACGGCGCCAATGGCTTTAGTCTCGCACTCCCAGCCGACTTCAACGGCACGCACTATCAGGTCCTTTCACTCGTCCAGCGTGCGCAAGCTGTGACCAACCTCACCGGCGAGCTCTACTCCATCAAAATTGACGAGCTAGCTCAGCACTACAAGGAGCTCGAACTCGCCTCTGAATCTCACGGTCTCCGAATCGACAATCTTGTAGAAGCACTGGGCGTCCCCAACGAGGAGGGTACATACTTTTCGTCAACGCCGAAGCCAGGAATGGGTTGCACGATGAGAAACGACCACTCCTGCGTTCCAGAGATCATGGCGGACGCTAACCGCCAGACCGAGAAACTGCGTAGCGAGCTGGAGCACATGCGCAAGAACATGCACCGTATGGACATTCGCCTCATGAAGCGCCTCGACAAGGTCGACAAGCGTGGTCTGTAGTAAGCATGAGCAATGCGAGCTCGAGCCACGGTAGTGGACCCTGGTGTTGCTACTGTAAGCCACGACTCCAAAGATAGTGCACAGGGGCACACTGTCTTTTTGCTTCTTTACATGCGCACCAATACGGTACAGGGGTGGATCTGAGCGCTCGCATCCGTTGTCGTTACATGGTACTCCTGCATATAGCTGGAACATGTACGGTGAAATGGGCTGTTTTGCGAACTTCGGTCTACTATGTAGCAAATGAAAACCCCGTCAAACTCATTTACAGTCTTCACAAATAGTGCCATCTGGATTTCTCTTGACCTGTCCGCTCTCGCTCGCTTGACCCTGCTCTTGATTCACCTCTGTCTCTTGCTTCGTGTCTTCTGCCTTGTCCTCCTTCTTCTTTCCATGCTTGTCGGAATGTCCCAAGTCTCGTGATGGATCGATGTGATCTCGCACCAATTGCTTCAATACTTTCGTTTCTGCGACACGTCAGCCACTCTCTACCACTAACAAGCTTGCGCTGAGATCACGAACCGGGAAATCCCCCCTCAGTCTTCCTATCCCAAAGAAGCACTTTCTTGGCTTCAACATTCTGACCTTCTTCCGTTGGCGGCATATATGTCTTGGCAAGTCAGTGGTCATTACGACAGACCTCATTTCCTACATACCAACTCAACAGTAAACAGACCTCCCGTCGCAGGAATCAACGCGATCTCGCCAATCTGCAACCCAAATGTCGATAGAAGTTCCTGCCCAAACTGGTCGCGCATTAGTGAATGTTTCGCTAGCGGATATCACGGGAGAAGATACATAGGCAGCCCGCAACATCCACCGACATTGCGTGCAATAAGTAATCGCGACGCGCGGCAAAGCGACTGGGGCGGATTGTGTAGATGTCATAATAATTTTGAGTGTGTATGAGGGTTGGGTTGCTCTTGCCGTTTCTGGGGCGGAAGGAAGGAAGGGTGTCGCTTATCGATAATTTGGGTGTGGCGTCATCGCAGGGCGGGCATGCGAACGACTACAGGGCTGGAGACTGACAGGTTGCGCTAATGCTGTATGGAAAGTCTAAAATTTCGGTATATATAATGCGGGCATTTGGAGCATTATTCGTATTCAGTGGGTTGGGGAGGCATCGCATTGATGATAGATGTGGCGGGGACATTCAGCCGGGTAAGAGCAGAGCGAGCTGGACATTTCATCTTGAGCGTCAGTATTGCCATCGAGGTCAATCGTCATACCTGAGTGGCGTGGAATCTTGGTATCACCAGGGTTATGCAACTTCCAAGGAGTGTGTGTATTCAGATGCATGTGGGCTCAGCGACCTCACGGAGGACAGAGAGGAATCTCGCCCACATCCAAGGTTGAAAAGCTACTGATGAGGGCAAAAGTTGATCAGAATACCCGCCCATCTTCGTCTGGTGCTGTACGATTCATATTTCAGGGTAGACTTATAGAATGTCTAGACTAGAATGTTTGTTGAGCAAGAATACCCTCTGCCACAAAGCCATTGTGTCTGCCGACCTGGATGTTTGTTCACTTGGCCATAGAGAAGGAGACCAGCTCGATGTGCAGCGCAACAAAAATGGAAAAAGAGCTGCAATGTTGACTGAATACCATCATCGACCCCACCAATCTCACCAATTCTACAGGGCTGTTCGACGCCGGAAATCCAGATGCATCGTTCGGTGTTTTCGGTGTTTCTCATCCCTGATCCGAGGGGAAGGTGCAGACAGCGGGTTGCTAAGGCCGTGCGCTACAGGGTCCAATTGTTGTAATTTGCGGAGACGCTCCCATACTTCACACATCGCGCGCCCAAAACACACTTCAACTCGCGGGTAAAGGTGTGATAATTTCTCCTTCTTGGATTCTTTCTCCTGTCGCCGAATTGGTCCACCTATTGCGACAACACAACACGTGTCGACCCATCCGCCTCTACCCCCCAATCCACGACTCCTTTCCTTCCGCCCATCATGCCGAGCCCTCTGAGCATGCTCTACTACGTCGTCCACCCCAATGAGCTACGGTCTATCATTCAATGGTAAGATACGACGCATCGCGACTTCTCTGCTCGCCTCCGGAGATCTGCGCAAACCTGAGCATTACTAACAACTTTCTAGGAAGGTATGGCACAACGCAGTACACGAGCGCGACGAATCGAAAGAATGCGAATCCCTCAAACGATGCTTCCACTTCCTCAACAAGACAAGCCGAAGTTTTGCCGCCGTTATCCTCGAACTGCACCCCGACCTTCTGGTGCCCGTCGCGCTATTCTACCTGGTCCTGCGCGGTTTGGACACAATCGAGGATGACATGACAATCCCTCTGGAGAAGAAGGAGCCGATCCTCCGCAACTTCGACGAGATTCTGGAGAAGGATGGGTGGAACTACACAGAGAACGGCCCCAACGAGAAGGACAGGCAGCTTCTGGTTGAGTTCAACGTGGTGATTGAGGAGTTCAAGAAGATCAAGCCCGTCTACCAGGACATCATCAAGGACATTACCAAGAAAATGGGCAACGGCATGGCAGACTACGCGAACAACGCCGAGTTCAACGCCGGCGTCAACACCATCAAGGACTACGAACTGTACTGCCATTACGTCGCAGGTCTGGTTGGTGAGGGTTGCACGCGCCTCTTCGTTGAGGCTGGTCTCGCGAACGCTGCGCTGCTCAAGAGACCGGAACTGATGGAGTCCATGGGTCAATTCCTCCAGCAGGTCAACATCACTCGTGACATCAAGGAGGATCTGGACGACGGACGACGATTCTGGCCTAGGGAGATCTGGTCGAAACACGTGGATAAGTTTGAGGATCTCTTCAAGCCCGAGAACAAGCAGCAGGCCCTGAACTGTAGCTCAGAGATGATCCTGACTGCACTCACTCGGGCAGACGACTGCTTGTACTACCTGGCAGGTCTCCGAGAGCAGAGTGTGTTCAACTTCTGCGCTATCCCACAGTCCATGGCCATCGCGACGCTCGAGACCTGCTTCCAGAACTATGCTCTTTTCCAGAAGAACGTCAAGATCACCAAGGGCGAGGCGTGTCAGTTGATGGTTGAGTCGACACAGAACCTGCAGCTTGTCTGCGAGGTCTTCAGGCGATATGCTCGCAAGATTGCGAGGAAGAACAACCCCCACGACCCCAACTTCCTCAAGATCAGCATCACCCTCGGAAGGGCAAGTCAAGACTGGTCCAGCTGAATGTACTCATACTAACAAATCCCAGATTGAGCAATTCATCGAGTCGATATTCCCGTCGCAACAGCCACCAGTGGACAAGAAGGCACCTGCCACCATCGAGGAGGCGGAGCGGAAACGGAAGGAGGACTCCGAGGCCAACTGGGATTTGGTCTACATTGTCGCCGCTGTCATTGGTACAGTTCTGGTCATCACATTTTTCATGGTACGTATCCCGACTATGCTGCTTTGACCTTGCTAACAGCTTTTAGCTCTTCGTCGCCTGGCTCTGTGGTGCTCGCTTCGATATCGCTTACGAACAATTCAAGATGGAGTTCGGCAAGCTGATGGGAGTCATGGGCCTCGACAAGACGCCTCAAGCGGTTACAGAAGTCCACGAGACGCTGAACAAGAGCGAACTATGAGCGTCTCCCGCGATTCTATGTATCATACGGGCGACCAATATTGCCATTTAGGGAAACTGGGCATATATAACTTACTAATGTATACTTTTCGCGACATGTTTGAGCTCGACTGACGGTGAAGGTAATACCATAGCACGGATGTCAAATTCCAACCCTGCTCTTCCATAGCTGAGGTTGGGCCGTAGATGTGCTTATATTGAAACGCGTTTGCTCGGCGACGAGGCTGCTTGAGAGAAAGTTCATCGTGAACTTTGTTTCAAAGCAGTAACGTGGACATCGTATGAAAAAATCGAACACTTTTGGATACTAGAAACCCTCAAGATCTCTTCTTGCAGATTGTTGTTTGCAGCCGAACAGTGAAAAAGAAATTCTTGGCAACTCTTATTTCGTCTCCCTCTCGTACAATGTGCATGACTGAAAAGGTCAGCTAGTTCACATGCGCTGAAGTTAGTTCTGCTATGACATCAACCTGTTGCTTCTTTATGCCTTCACTGTGTCATCTCTGAAACTGCCCCGGGAGTGTAGCGCGAGGTCCGTGCCAAGCAAGCCTAAAGGGTTCACACGAATTGCGACTGCACTGCATATTCTGCCCGACAGACACGCCCGCCACAAACAGCCACCGCACACTCGACCTTTCCCTCACCCGCCGCAAGACAGGCAGCAAAAGCCCGCGACACGTCCCGTATAATCGCCCGGTGCGATTGCGACAGCCCCACCTTCACCTCATCCCGCCCACCACCAATCGCCTTAAATTACCACACGACCCGCTGCCATCGTTTTTGGAGCCTCTTTACCGCCCCATTACCACATACTCTCCCTAAAACCCCCAAACACAACCTCCACAATGGCCGAAGTTGCATCAGCATCGCACGCCAACCAGCAGGTGCCGCTGGACACGATCCCCATCTCGCCTACTGAGAACTCGGGCGAGGGCCAGGAACAATCCTCCACCACCAACTCCGGCGGCGAGGGCGAGATCCGCACCGTCTTCCACGACCCCGAGAACTTCAACGTCAAGCACCCGCTTATGAACACATGGACGCTGTGGTTCACCAAGCCCCCGAGCGGCAAGGTACGACAATGTCTCGCCTCGCCTATGGCTAGTTTCATGCTAACAGGTGCAGGGCGACAACTGGGCCGAGCTGCTGAAGGAAGTCATCTCGTTTGATTCGGTCGAGGAGTTCTGGGGCATCTACGTAAGTTGCGCTGCAGAGCAAGCGCAACCCGCAAGACTAACACTGGGCAGAACAACATCACCCCCACATCCGACCTCGCGCTCAAGTCCGACTACCACCTCTTCAAGAAGGGCATCAAGCCCGAGTGGGAAGACCCGCAGAACAAGCACGGCGGCAAATGGGCCTTCCAGTTCAGGGAGAAGAAGTCGGTCAACATCGATGCGCTCTGGCTCCATGTCATGCTCGCTGCCATCGGCGAGAACCTCGAGGATGAGGACGACAACGAGGTCATGGGTGTCGTCGTCAACGTGAGGCGAGGCTTCTACCGTATCGGTCTGTGGACACGCACCGTCGGCCGCGCCATCCCCGGTGATGCCGGCAAGGCCAGGACTCAGGAGAAGGGTAAGGAGATTCTGCTGAAGATCGGAAAGCGGTTCAAGCAGGCCCTCCAGCTGAAGGAGAACGACGTTGTCGAGTTCTCTGGCCACACCGAGGCTGCCAACGCGGGCAGCACTCGTGCGAAGGCCAAGTTCAGCGTCTAAAAGGTTCCACCGCACATCCAAGTCTGCCACACGATACTTGCTACTGGCAACATCCTCCGACGTCCTCGGACACACGGCGCACTCCACCCCTGGGCTGCATTTTCTCGATTTATTCCCTGTTTGGTCTAAAAGTATCTCACTTAACGGTTCATGATACACGGACTGGATTTCTAGCATGGCGTCTGCATGGGCGGCGAAGGGTGACACTGGGTTCTCCACATGAATCATACGGCCATGGCGGGTCTGCCTCGAACGGGTGGGGTTTTGAGCTTGTATAGACTAGCTCTCTTATCTAGCATATCTACGAATGAGAGTGAACATATATTCGAAAAGCAATTATTTGCAGGCATAATCATGTCTTATCTACTACAGGACGAATGCAGAATCAATGCTCACGCATAGGTGACTGCCTGTCAAGGCGCTCGCATGGTCTTAGCGTGGTGACGTCGGCTGTGGCGGTGCAGCATTTTCACGGCGGGCAAGTGTAGCCCGCCGACGCGCGCCCAACCAACGCATGTGCTCTTGATCTCTCCCACCACGCACCCAAGGTCACTCACATTCGTAACCCACATTCGTAACCATGGTCGTTGAGACTGCATACTACGACGCCTTAGGCGTGCCGCCCACCGCGACGGAACTCGAAATCAAGAAGGCATACCGCAAGCTCGCTATTAAACTTCACCCCGGTACATTGCGCAACGACTCTGCTCAAAGGCCCGCGGACTGATTCTGGCGTAGACAAGAACCCCGGTGACGAGACAGCACACGCGAAGTTCCAAGAAGTACGTTTATCACCAGACTAGAGTGTTTGGCGAGCCTACTCGTTGTTAAAAGAGGACTGCGGGGCTCACGGCGATACAGATTGGCGAGGCGTACCAAATACTCAGCGACGACCAGCTGCGCGCAGCATACGATAAATATGGCAAGGAGGGCGCGATGCCTAGTAGCGGATTTGGTATGCACAATACTTGGAGTAACGGTTGTAGGACACGCCGCTGACAACACAACAGAGGACCCTTCCGAGTTCTTCACCATGATCTTTGGCGGAGAGGCCTTCGTGGACTGGTAGGTGATATCCTATGGCTCGTACTAGCGATACTCATACTGGATCGTGCTGACACGCGCAGGATCGGTGAGATCTCGTTGATGAAGGACCTGACCAAGACTATGGAAATCTCTCAACGCGAGATGGAAGAGGAAGCAGCCGCTCAAGCAGAAGCTGAGAAGGTCGAAGCCGAGAAGAACCCAGCAGCTGCCGCAGCTGGTACTACCCCAGCCACTGGCACCACAGAGACCGCTGCACCAAGTACTGCCGCTCAGGCCAAGGAAGCCGAAGCGGCAGCAGAGCGCGCAGCAGCACAGCCAGCAGATGCACCGCCCGTGTATGCCGAAGCACCTCCAGTATACGCTGAGAGCACCGCCGAGTCGTCTACCGCACCCAGGGCGGCATCGCCCCCATCCCGAACGAGCACGCCGAAAACACAAGGCATACCAATCCGCGCAGCTATTATGGACAAGTCAGAGGAAGACGCACGTATGGAGGCACAAGGCATGACCGATGCTGAGAAGGAGCTACGGGAGAAGCAGAAAAAGAAGGCTGGTCTTACCAAGGAGCAGCGGGAAGAGCTCGCGGCATATGAGATGGAGCGTAAAAAGATTCGCGACGAACGTGTGTCGAACCTCGCCAAGAAGCTCGTTGACCGTATCTCAGTGTGGACTGAAACCGACAAGGCGACCGATGTCACCGCTGCCTTCAAGGAGAAGATTCACCTTGAGATCGAGAATCTCAAGATGGAGTCGTTTGGTCTTGAAATCCTTCACGCCATTGGTGCCACGTACATCATGAAGGCTTCCTCGTTCCTTAAGTCGCAAAAGTTCCTCGGGATTTCTGGCTTCTTCTCACGCATCAAGGACAAGGGAACGCTCGTCAAGGACACCTGGTCCACTATGTCTGCTGCCATAGACGCACAGCTTACCATGGAGGAGATGGCTAAGCTAGAGGAGCAAGGTGGCGAGGCATGGACAGACGAGAAGAAGGCTGAATATGAGAAGAGAGTTACTGGCAAGATTCTCGCCGCAGCCTGGAGGGGAAGCAAGTTCGAGATTCAGAGCGTACTGCGAGACGTGTGCGATACCGTCCTTAATGATAAGAAGATTAAGCTGGAGAAGCGAGTGGAGCGAGCACACGCTCTGATGATCATCGGAGAGATGTTCCAGAAGGTATGTCCAACTCTTGTCACCTCAAACAAATGTGTGCTAACTAGATACAGGCTGAGCGCGACCCCGAAGAAGAAGGCGACTTCATGGCCTTTGAACAACTTATGGCCGAAGCCGCCGCTAAGAAGGACGCCAAAGCCGATAAGCACCACCACCATCACGACAAGAAAGAGAAGGAGAAGAAGAAGGAGAAGGCATGAGAGTAAAAAATCACCTCTGCATTTTTTTCCCGCAACTTTGCATACCCTCTCCTTCTTTTTCTTTCGGTGTTCGTGATATCCATAGATTCCTTTCTTTCTAGGGTGGAAATGGGGGGGTTGGTAGAAGCGCGAATCGCGTGTCTACTGACATTCGCGATGGAGACTGCTTGGGATGACATGTGTAGCATGTTTGGCGATGGTTAGCGTGCGCGTGGATGGATGGATGAATGGAGATAAGAGTAGGGTTGGCTTGAGTGGGCAGCAAGCTTAGGTCGGGTTTTGAACGTATACGATGCTGTTCTGTCCACGTATTGGTGTGTTACTCATTTGAAATGCGATCAACAGCTATGCTCCCTGTCTTGCATCCGCTCACAACTACATTCACGTCCCTGTGGAGGTAGACCCCATACACTAGAAATGTTTGCACTGCCTCTATAGCATCTTTCTAGTGCGACTTCCCGTGCACATGCGCCTGCTGCCCAGGTGCGTAGCCTTTGCGCTGGAATAGATTTGTCTGGAACGATGACGTAGCGACACGATCCGCTCTCTCCACCCATCTCGTCCCACTTGGTCACATCAGAAGTCCACCACAGCACTCGAGTTGATCATCATCTGGGTCCCATCAATGCGATAGGCGTTATCGCACATTCAATTAATGCTACTTTGGGGGGACCCTGCCAAGTCCCCTACAAGATACATGCAGTAATAGTGCACCAAAGATTTTCGGTCCCAGGTCTCGACCACGCAAACTAGCGTGACCCCACGAAACAACTATTTTTAGGCTTCGGCTTTAGACAGAAGCCCAGATCGTATTGCACGCTCGCACGATGATGCCAGCACGCCTCAAAGCTTCTGACGCGGACTGTTTCTTTGACGGCCACAGACAGTGTTTGAGGCCCACAAGTTAGCGGCGGGAATGACGTCGTTTCGGCGGCGGCGAGCGGAAGAAAGAGTGTTCTAGCACCCTGATGCGCCTTCCCAACAAAGAGCATCTGGGGGATCGTTACGCGTCCGGAGTTTATTGGGAGGGTCTGGTCCTTGCTGCGTGGATCTAATTAGGCTTTCTCATGTGAACATTATTCCCTGGGTGACTTTTCTTTTCTCTTGTCCAACCACACCACGCCACCTTTTTTCTCATTCGCTGCATTTACGGTTTCTTGGGACCGAACATTACAGCGACTTCTACTGAGTACATTCGTTTGAAGAGGAGGGAAGTTCCAGTATGGATGTCTGGAGGCGACAGAATGGCGAGAGTGGGACTGATAAGTTTCTCGATTTGATTGCGGATCCGTTCCAAGGTGAAGTAAGTACAGATCGACGACATACCATATGTTTACCGTCGCGCATACGCATACTGACTGTTGCGTAGATCCAAGAGAACTCGATTTACGCCGCTATTGTCTATTCCTTCGTTATTTCCGGTCTGCTGGTCGTGGTGTTCTGCTTCCTTCGACCCCGCAACTCGCGAGTTTACGCGCCACGAGCGAAACATGCCGATGAGAAACACCGACCGAAGCCCTTGGACAAGAAGCCATTAAGTTGGTTGTCCGCGGTTAGGGATGTGAAGGAGCAGGAGTTGGTGGATACCATCGGTCTGGATGCGGTCGTGTTTCTACGATTCCTTCGAATGCTCCGGAACATCTTCATCGTGTTGACGGCTGTTGGTTGTGGCATTCTGATACCGGTCAATGTTGTGGGGGGTTCGCCGCTGTACAAGCAGTGGAAGGAGATACCGACACTGATGAAGTTCACTCCGCAGTATATCTTTGGAAGGAAGTTTTGGGCGTACGTTGTGGTGGCGTATATCATCCAGGGGACTGTTTGCTTCTTCCTTTGGTGGAACTACAGGGCTATTCTGAAGCTTAGGCGCGCGTATTTCAACACCCAGGAATACAAGTCCAGTTTGCATTCGCGAACGCTACTGGTGAGTATCACTAATACATTCCATGGATCAAGCTGACATCAGACAGCTAACACACGTTCCCGAATCATCGCGGACCGACGCTGGGCTTGTCGAGCTTGTCGAACAGGCAAAGCCTATCGATAGTATACCCCGGACAGTTATTGGACGCAATGTCAAGGATTTGCCCAAGCTAATTGAGGCGCATGATGATGCTGTCCGCCTGCTCGAGAAGCATTTGGCTGAGTACCTAAGTAACCCGAATAAGCTACCCGCCAAGCGCCCGAAATGCAAGGCTATGAAGGACGATCAGGCAGTCCATGGCAAAGGAAAACTAGATGCGATCGATTACCTTACGGACCGAATCTCCAGGCTGGAGACGACCATCAAGGAAGTGCGGGAGGGTGTCGATATGCGAAACCCTATGCCATATGGATTCGCATCCTACGCACATATCGAGGATGCGCATGCAGTTGCGTACGCGACGAAGAAGAAGGGCCCCGCCGGCTGCGATGTTTACCTTGCGCCCAAACCCCACGACCTGCTCTGGCAGAATCTTCCGATGACACGGAGAACTCGCAGGATACGCGCCTTCTGGGACGGTCTTTGGGTCGTCTTGTTCACCATCGCCTTCGTCGTGCCCAACATCTTGACTTCGGTTTTCCTGTCAGACTTCTCCCACTTGGGACTCGTTTGGCCAGCGTTCATGACGAATCTCCAAGCTCATCCCACTGGCTGGGCGATTGCGCAGGGTATCTTGGCTCCTTTGGTACAAACTCTAATGTATATGGGAGTACCCGTGGTGGTTAGTATACCCGCGAACCTTACTTGACCTGTAAGCTGACATGATATCCCAATTCTAGTTTCGACGATTGTTCACGCACTCTGGAGATGTATCGAAGACATCCAGAGAACGCCATGTCACTGCCCGCCTCTACTCCTTCTTCGTATTCAACAATCTCCTTGTCTTCTCCGTGTTCGGTTCGGCCTGGCGGTTCGTGGCTGCGGTCATTGCTGCCCAGGATCAAGGCGTGTGGGAGGCCATCCAGGACGGTCATCTGTTCACCAAGGTTATGACTGGCTTGTGTAATGTGTCTACGTTCTGGCTTACCTGGCAAATGCAACGCAACCTCGGTGCTGCTATCGATCTCTCGCAAGCTTGGATATTCGCTTGGTCCTGGATTCAGCGTACCTTCTTCTCACCAACTCCGCGGCAGCTCATCGAACTCAGTGCACCGCAACCATTCCCGTATGCCGACTATTACAACAACTACCTCTTCGTATCGACGGTTGGTCTCTGTATGGGCACACTACAGCCTATCATCTTCCCAGTGACAGCCTTTTATATTGCCATGGATTCCGTCTTCAAAAAGTATCTGCTTCAGTACGTTTTCATCACCAAGACCGAATCGGGCGGTAGATTCTGGAAGCTCCTGGTCAACCGCATGCTTTTCGCGGTTTGTTTCGCAAACGCAGTCATCGCGTTGGTTGTTGGAGCAAACGGTGTCGGGTCGATCGATTTCGACAATGTTCAAGTGAGGACTGGTAACATGCTCTACGCAATGATCCCATTGCCGTTCTTACTATTTGGCTTCAAGTGGTACTGCAGGCGAGCTTTCGACGACAAACTGCTGTATTACTCAACGCTCCCCTATTCCGATGTCGAAGGCTCTCATTCCGTGGATCACCCGAAATCCAAGAAGAGCACCAAGGTCTCGTCCCGCTATGGTCATCCTGCGCTCTACAAGAAGCTGCTTACGCCAATGGTCCACGCAAAGTCTCAGCACCTCCTGAAAGAGGTATACGGACACCGTTCAAATACTGATCGTGACATCTTCGATGCACCTCACCGCCGTTCGACCGACCGTGCCATGCCATCCACACCAGGCTACGATCGATTCGGCGACTACTTCATGACCGAAATGGACACTCACCAGCCAGGCAAGCATGCGACTGGTGGAACGGAGATGCCGCACATGGAAGTGGTCACCGAGTCAGAGCTCGACTTTGAGAACTTCAAGAAGCGTGCGGAGTTCCGTGAGCAATTTGGAGGTGACGGGGAGCTATACGGCCGACCCGAGGACATGTCAAGGCCTGGCACACCATCTACGTTCACAACGCTCACCGAAATGGGTCCGTATGGACGCCGGGACTCACCGTCAGGGTCGAGGGCGTCAAGTCGAACAAGACTAGGAGATAAGGAGGAGCTAGAACAGGGGACAACATACGCTAAGGGATACCAGAAGACGCCGCGACCTGAGGAAGGCTTCGAAGAAGTTGGCATCGATGTCGACATTCCGGCGACGCCGTTTGATGCTGACGCCGTACTGCACGGTACGACTAGCCGCCAGCCGCTTGTCAGTGCGGACGAAAGGGACGGTGGCGTGGAATATTTCAATCGTGGACCTCAAGAAGAGGATACGAGTTATGAGCGCTTTAGACATGTTGGATGATATTCGGTAGGATAGACAAAACACTAGATCTAATCATAATGTTTGTGTAACTATATGAATGGCTGCAAGATATAATGCAGTGTGATGTCAGTCTATTCTTCCGAGAAACATGCAGAGATTGGCTTCCATGATGCTTCCAATTGCGTCCTATCCCGATCCACTCACCCTGTGGTGGGTAAGCACTGAATCTGGATCCGATGGTATGTCACCGGTCACTTCGTCACCATCGCTCCCACGTGGACAACAAGACCGATGTGAGACCTAGTGAGTTTACCTCTCCGAGAAATCGAGAAACGAGAAAGCCACCGGTTACAGTAATGCTGAGTATGTGATTGGTACACGTGAGAAGCAATAACTATCCAAACAAAGAGCTTCGTCAGCACAAGATCCAGACAAAGAGCGTCTAAGCCCACGCCGTGGAACACAACACGACAGTAGTAAGGCCGACACGCCAAGAGCGGGAAGGCAGCCCGAGGGGGACACGGGATGAGCAGGAACATTGGCGAGTGTACGACATAATACTCCGCCTCCGCCCACCCAAAGCTGGGCACACAAGTATACAAGACACCACGACGCTGCCTATGCGACAACAAGACCGACCAAGACCGTCGCATGAGAGGAGAAGGCGCCTCGCAAGCATAAGCCCGAATGCGACGGACCACGTGGAATCACTTGGCAGGGTTCTTGTGAGAAAGAAGTCGACAAAGCGCGACGTTCCGACGATAAGACCGATAGTCAGGTCATTTTGTACAGTACCTCGTCGACGAGACTCAATATAGTGCCAAGATCGGCATGGTGATGCTGGGCGTGGTGTTGCAAGCAGCAGCGCTATAGGGTTGGCTGGTCACTGGGTTTCCGCGCGGCTCGCCGTTACAGCTAAGGGCAGGGAAGGGGGAGGCTTGCGTGCTTGGAATGCGGAGATTTCAAGGTTGCGAGTCGGACCGCGTCGTTTGGGTCAACGGCCGATTGTCGAGTGGGGTGAACGGCGGCGATCTTTGCTCCTTGCACGTGTACATGGTGGTGATCTTGGTAGTCGGGAAAGTAAGACGGTTAGTTGGGGTGTGTGGGAAGTGGTATGACTGTGATGGAATGATGATGGTGGTTGTGGCTACTGCTCAGGCTCACGTGGCGCGCAGGCTTACCGCGGCCGGTTACCTACCGTATCCGTATCCGGTGCCATGGGCGAGCAATTCTGTTCACCATCAAGCAATATCACCTCCATACGCGCCATCATCACGGCTTGGCGTCCGCGTCCGCGTACGCCGTGTACTATGTATTCTTGCCTGCCAAGCCCCTCAAGATATGCCTCACGACAGCTTCTAGATGTTGGTTTTCGGCCTGGAGGCGCAACGAGAAACGCATTGGAGACTCGCCTCCCTTTCTTCATTGCCTCATTTCGAGTTAGCCACGCACTCACGATGACCCCACAGTTTCACAAGTGGACTGATCTCGCGAGTGCAAAGGAGCATGTGGGCGAACGCTTGATCGGTTTGATCACAACCTGATACAGTAGCAGCGGTGTGCGACCTATCGCATCGACGACGACTTTCGCTCTTGGTTCGGCCACTTGGAAACCATGGATAAAATACACCAGGCTGCGCATCCCTGTCGCACGTCGTAAAGCAGAGCCTCGAATATGCCTGGAGGGCTTCGCCAAGCGACGTGTCCAGAAAGCGCGCTTTCTGTCAAGCGTTTCAGCTCCTTCGGGGTAATTTGCTACTCAGTACCATCATGTGGCGAAGCCAGGTCGACGGCTTTTCGGCTGCCTTGCTTTGCAGTGCTTGGGGTTATTTTGGAGAAATCACACGATTCTTGGACTTGGCGCGCGAGAATGTGGAGAAAGTTCTTGGACGAAGGATTGGAGTAGGTGGTTATGTCGACTAATTATTTCAGGGTTTCTTGCGCAATTGGGACAACGGTGCATCAGCATCATTCGGCACTGTACCGATGAACCTTCTTTTTGGCACAGATCTCGTGGCTTTGCTATCTGTCATCTCAGAGCACGTCCAACTTACCCGTCAGCATAGGGTCCAACAAGGACCTTGCTCGCTTCCGACAGGCAGGACGGCTGTCATCGTCTCAGCATACCAAGCAAATGTCACAAGTCTTGACCCCTGTTTAGCCCCTCAATATCGTTCTGGGCGACTCCTTAACCACATACTCGACTTGGCACCTACCTGTAATGGAAATTTCCCGCTCCTTCCTCGCATGTCTTGTATACACTGGCCAAGAAACGGCGTTCTGGAGGTCTCTTGACGTATGACTTGGTCTTCTTGGCCTGCGCGTCTAGTTTGCGGAGGATTTTCGTTGCAAGGTAGAGACATGCGACCGGCCGGAACGAGTTTGAGCGAGGAGCGTTTTTGTACAGCATTGCTCATGGATTGTAGGTATATCTTGTGCTTAGCTCTGCATCTCAAGCCTTCTAGTTGACATTCTAGCCGCCTTTTCCGTTCTTCCATCTCGTTCGTTCTAATACGGTCCGTTTTTGCCGCCGAACTCCTCCTTGTACCTACTTTCTCTTTGGCTCAGCCTCCAGGTGTTCGGGCTTATTCGGGTCTTGTCCTTCTCTTGCCTTTCTTGTAATACGACTAGGTTGATCCTGTCTTGCTCTTATACTCCACATTCGTTCGTGTTGCACGGTCGACATCAGCATCCGTTACCAAGGCATCTTGCGCGTACTCTTGTTTAATCTCTTGTACTGAGGCATACACGATCTTGTCTTTTTGCTTAAGAACGACCCGTCCCGCAGTGTGTTTTGGAAACATCAGCAGCAGCCTTTCACATTCCTTCAGTGTTCTTTTTACAGCACCCTTCACTCTTTACAGTCCAGTCCAGTACATCGCTCATCATGCTTTTCTCCGCACTCCTCCTTGCGTCGACCGCGTCCGCGACCTGCCTTCACGGCCTCTCCAAGTTCAAGCGCGCAGACACCGTTGAGGTTAACACCTTTGGTTATGGACCCATGAACGGACCCTTCAACTGGGCTTCGCTTGCTCCTGAGAACGAAGCATGCAAGTCTGGCATGAACCAGTCTCCAATCAACATTGGTATGTCTCTCTAGTTCTCAATTGCCCAAAGATCTTCTACTAATACCCTCACCAGATGCCACCATCACCGCCGCCTCAGGCCGCCCCGTCCTCGACATCCCCGACGCGGAAGTAATCTTCGAGAACCTCGGAACGACCATCGAAGTCGTCGTCAACGGCACAACCAGCTACGCGGGCACCAACTTCCGCCTCGTCCAATTCCACATGCACACCCCCTCGGAGCACCACATCAACGACGAATACTTCCCCTTGGAGATCCACATGGTGCACCAGGGTGTCGACGACGAAAGTCAACTCGCCGTCATCGCACTCATGTTCGAGATCTCCTCCGGCGACTCCGCATCCATGATCCAATCGCTGTCCTCCTCGCTCGCCGACATCGCCACACCGGGCACCAAGACCATCATCTCTTCCGGCATCGACTTCACCGACGTTGTTGAGACGCTCAAGACCTCTGATATCCAGACGTACAGCGGTTCGCTTACCACCCCTCCTTGCGCTGAGGGCGTTACTTTCCTCATTGTCAAGGACCCTCTTCCCGTCTCTGTTGAGGACTTCAACGCTATCAAGAAGATTGTCAAGTTCAACTCCCGCTTCATCCAGAACACCCTTGGTGGAGAGAACATCTTGGAGATTGGTGCTGCTGCTGGTAACACTTCGATGCCTCCTGCTCAGAACTCTACGCCTCGTTCCAACGTTGAGATCAATGCTGATCTGGGCCTTCTTGATGCTAAGGTATGCTCTTCCCTCCCTACCATGCTTTTGTCAGATCACATATACTAATTCGTTGCTCAGGTCACCGTTGGTACTCCTATCCAGAGGCGTGTACGCAAGTACTAAATGTAATATTCCTTTCTTGTTAGAAGATTTTGTTGCATGGTTGCGGAGTGAGTAGTGTTGTAGCGAGTTGTGGACAACTCAGATTTCATTTCGTCTTTGATTATTTCGCATTTACACAGAGAGTGGTGGGATGATACCAGCTTTCCTTTTTCTTAGTCTACTAGATCATGATTTAGATAAGACTCATCATTACAGCAATGTAACATTTTCTGCTGCAAATTCTTCCCTCTCGGCGATTTCTGCGCATTTGCTAAGTGTCCTTTCTTTGATCGATCGAACGATATTTGTATAAGCATTATCAAAGATGTTATTGATATTGCTTTGTTCAATGCAGCGTGTAGTGATTGAATGACGGACGGCCGCGATGAACCCTGCAGCAAGAGTGAAACAGAGTCACCCCGGGGGAAAATGAACACTTAGCTAGACTTAACAATCTAGAAGGTTGTGTTGCGTCATGATCTTACTAAAAGTCATTTCAACCCTGATCTAAACTATCATGCACTTGCTCGGTCTCTTCCTTGAATAAGATGTGAACATTTTAGTCTAGATTATTGGACGCGCGTTTCATTGCACGAGAAGTCAAGAAGACGGTATCGACGCATGCAAGGAAGAAGATGTTAAAATTGTAATCTGACTTTAAGCTATCCTGTTTTGCCAACTCCAGCAATGCAATGAACAAATCCAAAAGATCCCACTGTGCTCTGCCATGCGCAGATCCCACTCGCTGGGCAGTCTCGCGCAAACCCATACTACAGCTGCCTATCTTACACTGCAGACTACCGTCTACGTTCCTAATCGTAGCCGGGATCGCCACTAGGTGCCGGCGTCGCAGCATCCCAACCGCCAGGTGTGGGCGCCGCAATACCATATCCACCACGCGACGTGTCACCAGGTGTAGGCGCAGCGTAGTTGCCAGGAGTAGGAGCATCCATGGGTGGGCCACCAGGCGTAGGCGCAGAGTAAGCACCGTAGCCACCTGGAGTAGGAGCAGCGTAAGCGCCAGGTGTTGGGGCGTTGTAAGCACCAGGCGTAGGAGCAGAGAGACCACCAGACTTTGAAGCGGTGTTTCCGGATGATCCACCCCAACCAGGTGTGCGGCCGCCAGAGTTGAAGCCACCGTACTGGGTACGGTTTCCATCATTGCCGCCGTAGGCTGTCGCTCCGCCATATGATGTGGCGCCTCCGTATGCAGTTGCGCCGCCATATGCAGTTCGGGAGCCATCGCCGCCTCCATAAGCAGTCCGTGATCCGTCTCCTCCGCCATACGCAGTGCGTCCGCCATCTCCACCCCAACCAGGCGTTCGACCTCCAGCAGCGGCACCACCTCCCCAACCGGGTGTGCGACCACCACCGCCGCCTCCCCAGCCAGGCGTACGGCCACCACCACCAGAGTTGCCCCAGCCAGGTGTACGTCCGCCAGCTGCACCGCCGTAGCTTGTCTGACCACCAGAGAAGCCTCCACGTGAGCGGTTTGGGAACTTGCCTCCCATCTCGACACTGGCGCCAGTGATGGGATCTTTGATAGTCAGGAGCTCCTTCTTCACGGAGACTTGCTTGTTCTTTGTGTGTAACTCGATACGGGCTTCGTCGTTCATGGTATCTTTGACAATGCCCAACAGGCCCTTGTAGGCACCCTTTCGGATGACAACCGTTTTGCCAATGAGCTTGTCACGGCCAAAAGTGGCACGGGGTGGAGGCATAGCAGTCGCGTTGCCGTTCGGGCCTGCATTCAGGGCAGGGTTGATGCCACTAAGATCTGGGCCCTGTGCTTGAGCGCGACCACTCTTTGCTGCCATGGTAACAACGTTGTTGCTTCGAACCACGAATATGCCCTGGTTCTCGACGAGCTCGCGATTCCGTACGAAAAGTGTGCCTCTGTGGATGTATAGAACCTTGCCTTGACGGCCTTCGCCTCCATACTCCTTGACGTCGTCCTCGTGTCGGATTTCGGATCCGTCGCGGTCGGTCGCTACAGCATGTTTGTTCCTTCCCACGATTTGCGAGACCTGTGTATGGAGGAGTGTGCGGACATCGCCTTGTTGATCGACAATTCGTAGGACTTCGCGATCGACACGAACGACGCAACCGATGGTTGAGGCACTGTAGAATGTTAGTCCGTTGTCAGGTCATCGGAAGGAGATAACTTACTCAATCTGTACAAAGTCGTAGAGGTCAAAGTTGGAGTCAGCACCGACGTTTGCCGAATCAGCAGCGCGCTTCAGGTCTTTACTAAAGACCGTGATTTCCTGCTGAGTGGAGTCGCAAAGCAAGGTGATCTTATCATCCTTGATTCTGGTGACTAGACCAACTTCGTCGACATACTTGCTGCCACCGATGACCTTGACGTGATCACCGTCGCGGAACAGTTTACGTAGCGTCTTGACGGGTGCGTCGATTCTTCTTCCGCGAAGATCGCCTTCGCTGACACGGAGTGTCAGGATGTCGCCTATGACAGTGACAGTTGTACCGCGGATACCCTTCTGTTCACCGGTGTAAATCTCGACGTTGTCTCCTGCAGCGAAGGCGGAGCCAGAGTCTGCGGCCTTCTGCGCGGCCTGGACAGCCAAAAGATCCATGGTCTCGGTACCATCCGCGTTTTGGATTGCGAAGAACTGCAATTCCTCCATCTTGGGGTTGACCTTTTCAGTGCTGACCCAGTTGACCTTGACTTCCTTGATCAGGAAGCCGTTCTGGTAATCCTCGCCCTTGTATGTGTATGCCCTTTGGTTGCCAGATCCTGTCATGCTGAGATGCTTCATGTGTCGCTTCTTCGCTTCGGCTTCGTTGAAAAGCTTCGCAGGTGGACGCTCGACCTGTCGACCGAAGAAGCCGCGCTTGCGCTTGTTGTCGGCGGCGGAGTTGATGTCCTCGTTCAGACCGTAGTCTAGACGTGGCACAAGTTGTACGACACAGTCAAGACCGTTAGTCGAGACCTCAACGACCTTTGCGAGATCGCCTTTGTATGTGGGGGGACGCAGCATGCGCACGAATTTGCCAACCTCCAACGGCGCACGCTTCTTCTTACGGAGCAGATCTGGACGCTCTTTTGGAGGAATCGAGAACTGACCAGAGCCCATGAAGACGTTCTGTATGCCCTCGATCAACTCCACCACAGCCTGCTTCGAGTCGGCCTCAACGTAGAGGAAACCAGACTGGGGTCCAGTAGGGCCTCGCTCAAAGGCCGAGTAGACCTGGACTGGCTGACCTGTGCGCATCTTCTCGTCGATACGCTTCTGAATAGACATTATGATCTCGCGCTCTTTTCCAGGACGGCACTTGCAACCCCAGATGGACGGATCGTCAACTGTGGGCAGGGCCAGGGGAACGGCACCGGCTCCACCGCGGCGAGTGCTCTGCATCTCACGCCGCCTGTACTTCTCGTCGAACTCCTTGGCGAGCTCCTCAACGTCCTTTTGTGCATTGACTTCGCGGCGCATGTCAAGTTCGCGGTGGTGGCGGTCGTCGAGATCGGCGCCCGTGGGCTCAAGGAGATCATCGGGGTGGACTTCATCAACACCCTCGTCGTCGCCCTCCTCCTCCTCTTCCTCATCCTCGTCGACTTCGGCTTCAACATCAATGAACATGTTGCGCTTGGCCTTCTTTCTTCGCTTGGCAGGTCGGGCCTAGGATGGTCAGTATTTAGACAGCGCGAATGAATGATGAGACCCACGACAACATCCTCGTCGTCCTCATCTTCTTCGTCATCTTCCTCGTCATCGTCATCGTCGAGATCTATGCCGCCGCCCTCTTCATCTTCGTCGTCATTGCCTGTCCTGTTTGGCGCATCGACTTCGTCCTCTTCGTCCTCGTCTACGGGCCTGCGCGAGGCCTTGGTCGTTGGCGCGACGTCATCCTCGTCGATTTCAGGCGCGGGGTTGAAGTCTTCTTCTTCCTCTTCGGGGTCGCTGCCGTAGGACGCCATGATTATCGATGCGTGTGGTGATAGAGGAGCGTGTCCTTGTTAAGAGCTGTCGCGAAGCTCGGGGGTGTGACCGCGGCAATCAAGCGGACGTGAGGGTGATGCTATCCGCTGATTAGTTTTGGACGGGCGGCGCGCAGTCGGAGAGGGAAAAGGAGGAAAGTAAGAGCAGACGGCGAGCGTCGAAGTTGACGGGTTATGTTTTAAACATGGGAACGTCGAACAAGGCCCATCCAAAGAAACCGCGCTAAGCCGGCGCGCCGCGAGGGTCCGTGCGCCTTTGATGGCCTCGACGCCACGCCTCCAGGGTGAAGCATGACCAACGCGTGGAGTTCACCTCTAAAGCAATACAGATTCAGTATAATTACGATGGTCTCTGGATGAAAGCTGCAAATTTACATGCTTTACACGCCCATCACGAGACACACCATCAAATAGGAGATCGCGACCTACTGCCCACAGAGGATCGCGTCAAGTCGACATCTTGAGTAGCAACATCTATATCTCAATATCATAACCTTGCCTTCTGCTCCGTCTTATCCTCTTCTACTTCGCATACCCTTATCACAGCCCTTCCCCAAGCTTTCCGCTCCCTCACATCCTCCAGCGCTCTACTAACCGCCTCCAACCCCCAGTAATCCTCCTTGTATATGACAGGCCGAATCTTACCATCCTCAACCAACTTCATGAACCCGTCCCACACATCTTGAGTCCGTTGCGGATCTCTTCTCCCATCTTCTCCAAACCGCTATCGTGAGTCAGCACACGAAACGAACACGCCAAATCCCAAGTGCAGGACGACCAGGAAAGGCATACTTACATAACCAAACACCGCAACTCCCTTGAGTAGAATCTTATTAACCTTCAGGTTCTCCATCTTTCCCCCTCTTGCCGCAAACCCAACAACGACCAACCTCCCCCGATACCTCAAACACCTAATGCCACTTTCCACGGCCCCAATCCCATCATACACGACATCGACCCCCTCCCCACCATTCCCCAACGCCCGAACCCTTGCTTCCCACCCCTCCTGTCCATAATAAACAACCTCATCCGCCCCAACACTCTTCACAACCTCAGCCTTTTCCTCACTCCCCACAACAGCAATAACCCTCGCCCCAACCGCCTTGGCAATCTGCACAGCCATGACACCCAACCCGCCACTCGCACCGAGCACGAGAACAGTTTCTCCGGCTTTGAGTTGCGCAACTGAGATCAAAGCACCGTAACTTACAGCACCGCTCGCGCCAACGGCGCAGGCTTCAGCGTTCGTCCATTGCGAGGGGACGCGGCGGATGGAGGGTTCAGAGACGCATATTTGCTCTGCGTAGGCGCCTAGGCCGCCGCCGAAGACGCGGGTGCCGGGCGGGAAGGAAGAGGAAGGGGGGCTATGGGTTATTATGCCGGCGTATTCTGTGCCTAGGATGAAGGGCGGTTGGACGTGTCTGCGGTTGTTTTGGTGCAGGCCTTGGGCGTAGAGGAGGTCGACGTGTGTTACGGCTGCGTGGGTGATTTTGATGTGAATATCTTGCGACGATTTTGAGAATAGATTTGTGATGGTGGAAGGTTTGAGGTCTGTCACGTTCTGTAGATTGTCATGGTTAGGGAAGATGATGTAGATACTTAGATAGGTGGCTTACAGAGACGAATCTGTCGATGTGGATGGCCTTCATCGTTGCAGATCAACACATGGAACGTCAATTCCAATTTAGCGACGTATCCTTACACATTACAAGTTGAAGCATTGCAGTAAACAACGAGAGTAGTACATGCACCATATGCATGCCGGGAGATCGACGCGTCTACGGGTGTGGGGTACAACGAGTTGCCGAGGTTTGACTGGATGCGCGACTCTGATGAAGCGGCAGCAACAGAAACGAAGATTGTGAGACAATGAGCAGTTGTGATTAGAGGGGATTATCCAGTGATCCGGTATTATACATGCACTCGATTCTCTTGCCTCGCTTGATACGCTAAAATCTGCCATACGCGGTTGCCATCCTCCACGAACAAATACAAATACAAAATAAGAAGCGCAGAAGCTCCCAGTGGAGCCCTCCCGCATCGCGAAACCATTTCCGCGTTTCTGTTTTTAGCCACGCATTCACGTACCCGGAGCTTGATCATCCACCTGCCCCAGCGCCATGGACGCCTCATCGCGGGCCTTCTGACGCCGCATGTGCCATTTCTCAACGTCCGACATAGGTTTCTTGGCCTCGAACGACTTCCGACCCTTTTGCGCCGCCATGTGAGCTTTCGTCCAGATAGCCGCTATAGCGATGAGGGTGACGAGACCCAAAGCGGTCCAGTATACAATGTGGAACTCCTTCAACAGGTGCTGTCCCCCCGTCGCCGCCGGCGCCTTCTGTTGTAGAAGCGTGCTCGGTTCGGGATGAGATGCCGCCGTCATGGGGATTTGCTGTGGTCTGATGACGGGTCCGAGAAGAAGGTTTGAGATCGGGGCTTGTCGACCGAGGATGCTGAGGAGCTCTGTCATGGATATGTTGAGGCCGCTGCTCAGTGCGTCGAGCACAAGCATCTTGTCGAGTTCAGGGTCCTGAGACATACTGCCGTCGCTGAGTGACTGCACCTGTTAGCGCGTGTTTGTAATGAGCTGTCATAAGCTTGCCTTATCAGGTGGTGTCTACGCAATCGATCATGCGTGAGCATACAGTTGTCAGGTTGGCTACTCGGGGAGACTAAACAGAGCTCTGAAAAGATACGACAAGGGAGGAGCCACCTCGGTGTCAGACCACTTGCTTGTCGTGACAGAAGGAACCAGCGCGATCGGTGAGATCGATTGTTAATGAATGGGGAAAGAGCTACCACATCGGCCATCCAGTACCAGACAACATGCTGGCATTGAGGACATTATTGTTCAACAAGCCTTCTGAGGGCAGATAGTCCATCAGATCTTCGAAGCCCAGACTGTCGATATCGAAATTCCACGTGGTCGGATCGGCGAATGTTGGTTGAACCTCAGAATCTAGAGGCAGCTGTTGAGTCGCACGGTCAGTGTCCGGCATGGGAATACCTGCCGTGTTGCCGGGAATATAGGGACAGGTTTGGGTGGTTGCTGTGTCCACTGATAGTGTGGACCTTTGGCTTGATCCATCTCTGAGCTTCTCATACTCTGCCATAAGCGACATGAGCAGACGCACGCCGTGCACTGCAACACTTGACGTGTGAAACAGTTGCAAGCACCTGATGGCTCGCGTGACATGCAGATGGCACTCTTGTGCCTCCGCGTCTGCTTCAGCACGATGAAAGAGCTCCAGAATGAGGCAAATACCTGCGGTGATGATGAAAGCTTGTTCAACCCACCACTGCGGCTCTTGCGCATCTCGAGTGGTGTACAAGCTGATGAGACTCTGCGCTGCGCTCATACAAGCCCACCGGCTGTATGTGTAGCGGACGTCCTTGAAGCTCTTGCTCAAGAAGTTTTGATGGACTGATGATACGTGGCAGAATTAGTATAGATCTTTGCACAATCTATGATGGTGAATACTTACTCATAATGATCTTATGATGCGTCGATGCGTGGTGCAGCCGCTTCGCCCAAACGACCCATTGTGGCCAACTGGGATCGTGCGGTACCCGAGGAAGAAGATATTTTGGCAGCTTCTCCGTACACAAAGTACGCATTTCGCCATCAAATCTGAGGATTGTGGCATATTTGATAGCGTCGTCTTTGTCCTCGAGTTCCACCATAGCGTTGTGAACGTCGAGAAGTAACGCAGCGCAGTCAAAGGTCCACTTGGCGACACCTACGATTGTTGGAATTTCTGTGTCGGCGACGGGCGTCATGGTTTCTTCGTCTAATTCGCGTGGCCTTGTGCTCGTGAAATGCCGCCATTGGAGTGTCAACGTGTAAGAGGCGGATGAAGTACAACACAGCCTAAAGAATAGATGAGTTAATTGTTCATGAATCGCCTGAACCGCGCTGTAGACGTACCACTCCTGACATACAGTCCCATACCAGACCCTGCGGCCAATTTCACGCTCGATAAATGCTTCTTTCTGTCTTGCGTCCAGTTCAGTTATCCTATCGTCGTCTGGATGGGGCCCAAGTCTGCTTGATCAGTTAGTAGAGTCCGTATCTCAGGAATCCATGCCACCTACTTGTGCAAACCAAGCCCTTTCGCAATGACTACCCCCACGCTACGGAGAGCGATCCATTGATTACTTGAGCCAGCTAGATGTTCATACGCGTGCATGATATGAATAGTCTGTACCGAGTGAATACTGTATTGCGATGTATAATTCCCAAGGTTCAGGCATGAGATCGATGCTCCGCCCCATACGCGTGCCAGCTGAACTTTGTCGTCAACCGAGAAGCCCCAGGACGTCGAAGCTATTTCTGAAGAGCCGATGATACTGGATGAAAGAATTGCGACTACAAGATTGGAATTAGTAACTTTAGTATCGACCGAGAAGATTGAGTCTGGTCACCGTAACCTTCGCATTGATGGCATATCGAGTAAGGTAGGCCTGAATCATTCGAAATGGAGGTAAACTTACACAAGAGGGCTACCCATGTCCAGTCAAGGTCTTGCAGAGCAAGCTCACACGACTGACCATACGCTTGAAGCAGCTTCTTTCGAAAGCTTGGCCCATGGTAGATGCCGCCGTGCCAGTACATCATGTACTGTTCGTAGTACTCCACAATAAGCATTAACTTTTCTCTCGGCGGCAGAATCGACTGCAGGTACTGTGTCTCCACTATCCTCGCTGCAGCCGAGTAGCAGCTCGCAATAGATGTCGACCCATTCGGTCCATCTCGTGGCGATCGTTTCGACCGGGCGTAAGAGAAGCTCTTGTCGAAACGGCTTTGATTGGCTTCTGCATCTTTCTCTTCCAATATAGCGCTAATCGTCATGTCGGGTAAACCGGTTCGCCAGACTGCTTCCTCATGCGGCTCGTTCCGACCCGATTGAGACCCTGCCGTTTGTGGATGGATTGGGGGTAGCGCGACCTGAGCATTTGCATCGGGAGACGGGCCAGATGTAGATGTGTCGCTTGAACCGGCTGTCGAAAGCTTCCGGGGATATTTGCGATGAACATTTGGGTTGTATCCGTTCACCCATTTGGTCGTGCAAAGATGACCTTCATTGTTCTGCACGCATCTTGTACAAGGTGCCTTTCGATCGCATTTCTGCCGTCTCTGAGAGCACCGCGTACAGGTTTGGCGCTGCTTGGGCATGATAGGCTGCTCAGTAATCTGTATGCGATAGGCCTATGCAGTCGTACAACACCCTTGGCTTCGTCTTTTGCTTGTTTGGTGGCACTTGTTTGTACGACTACTTAGGTACGAAGGAATGAGTCTCAAGGTCGATGGGCGTTTTTAAGCGAATACAGATTAGAGTGAGTAGCGCGCAGTGCGTACAACGGCGGAAGGTCATGAAAGCTGATGTACGAGGCCATGTGCGAGTCGTACAAACCTTCGTACAACGAACAGCCCGTGCTTCCTCAGACTAGACGCTCAGACCACGCTTCAGTATGGGTAGGCTGATGATCAACGTTTGCCCAGAACATTGGACGCGTCGACATGGTTAATAATACGTAGTGACAGAGTGTAGGAAGCTGCGACAACTGCTGGGTGTTGTCATGAATCGACGGTCTGTGCACTCAACCCACGGACTCAGTTCGGAGTTAAGGATTTCTCACGCATACACGTGGAACACGAAGTGAGTTTCGAAAGGCACGAGGGCATAACAAAGAGTCGTATCGCACATTGCTGCTTACGAGCTGTTGAATCTTTACACGTAACAATATCCAAGATCGTCTATATTTTTACTTAAAGTATTCTTCAAGATAACTACGCATTCGTAATGAAGCACATCCGTCATCCCGTAGTGTGGGCAAAGCTTGATTCTGACTACGCATGCAACTAAACTAGTGCAAGCACCTTCCATCCTGCAATATACATCCTCGTCAGTATATACATGCCTGCTCCCGCCATCATCATGACACCAGAGAAGACGTTCAGCCCCCAGTACTTTCCATTGTTTTGGACGACGATAGCTCCTGCAATTGGATTACCGATCAAACCCGCGATTGAGATGCAGGCGAAGACAACACCAACACGGATCCCAATCTGTTCGACCTTGGAAATATAAGCGATCTGGGCAGGCAACAGTGACACGAAAGCACCGGAAGCGAATCCGTAGAGGCCGGCGAATGTAATGAATGCCGCGTTACCTGATGCGGGGATAGCCAGGGCAAGGACCAGAATGCCAGCTACGAGGCACCAGAGTGACTGCATATTGAACTTGCCAACCTTGTCCGCGAGGGCACCGGGAATGATGCGACCGAAGATACTAGCGGCGTTGAGAATAGCTAGAAGATATCCAGCCAAGGTAGTCGACATTCCAGCGGCCATCGCTTGAACCTCGATGAAGTTGATGGGTATAACTAACTCTGGTATTAGTACGCGTCTTGTCGGCAGCTCGTACAGGGCGGTAACTTACACAGTCCCATGAAGAACAAAAATGACGCAATCGTCAGTAAGACGAAGCGAATGTCCCCAAAAGGCTCCACAAACACCTTGAACTCGAAGGTTCTGGGCTGTGGCGGTAGGCGAGATTTGACAGTGAGGAAAGCGATAGTCATCATGCCGAGGATGAGGAAGCCAAATGTTCTCATTGTCCAACCATAACCGATTTCGGGGATGAGGTGCGTTGCCATGATGGGAAAGATGATGCCGCCTAGTCCACTGCCAGCTGCCATGACTCCGTATGCCAGGCCTCTCTTCTTCAGGAACCATGTAGGGATGGTGCTGGTTCCTGCCTGGAAGATACAGTTCAGACCTAGAGGGCTGCAGATTCCTTGGGCGAGGATAAATTGCCAGTACTCAGTGCATAGGCTAGTCATCATTAGACCAAGCACGTGGAACAAGGTACCGAACAGTAATATGTACTTGGGGCCGTAGTTGTCGTACAGAAAACCGACGATAGGTCCAGGCGCAAACATGACGAAGATCTCGAGCGAAGCGATCCAGGCGACGGTAGACGGCGAGTACGCGCTGAGTTGATTCCGCTGGTAGTAACTTTGGAACACTCCGACGCAGTTTAGCCATCCGAATGAGCAGAAGAGACAGCAGAAGCCTCCGAGGAGACAAAGATAGGCGTCTCTTCCACCATCAGGGAATTGACTGGGATGGAATGGGCTCACAGCCGCTGTAGGTGCGGTCGTATCGGGTTGCTTTTCATCGACTGGTGCTGGCGGTTGTTCGACATCGGATTGGGGAAGTCGTGGCTTCTCCTCGTGCAAAGATGCCACTGAGCTTGTAGTCTGCGACATGGTAGTAGACGGTAGCACTAGGGGTTGGAAGTTGAGCGTGAAGGAGTTGGTAAGATGAGAGCTGGGCTAGGCCATGATTAAGTAGTCAATCATTGAGGTTGACATTGAGAGGCGTAACGGTGCTTCGCTCCTTACCATGGAATCCGTGTGATCCGCACATTCGATATCAAGCTATTATTGGGGTAGGTTTGCATGTAGGCCTGCACGCCTGTTCGCGCTCGGCCTCGCCTTTGACGCAGACCGACGTGCCGAGCCAATGGCGAGATATCTCACAACATTCGCATTACCACAACAGCGAAGGCAGCTGCGGGAAGGGGGTTAGTGACCCACATTCCCGACGGTCAATTCGGTGTTTCGAAGAGATTTGCTGGCGAATTCGGTGTTGAAAGGATCTCGCTCTTGCGCGCGCAGCGGAGACGCGTAGGAGATGTCGGAGATGATGGCATCTCCGACCCGCGTCCGACATGGGACAATCATACTGAAGATGCATCCTATATGTGCATGCGGCCACCCAAACATGAATTCTCACGATGGGTACGTGTGGATCATCCTTCTGCGCTCTAATCAGCAATCGCTTCCATGCGTTGGCGCCCTGACAAGATGCGCAGGGCATCGATGACGTATATCTTGCGAGTGACTGCAATTGTTGATGGACGAGTGTGAATATAGCAAGATAGCGAGTAAGCCACTTCTCGTGGTGAAGTCTGTCGAGAGTCGTTGGGTCGAGGCAGCGATGGAGGTGAAATCTGGAGGTGCAGGACAGGTTCGCTTGATCGGGCAACGACGCACAGACTTGGTTCCTTCGCATTTTGCCTTCCGAATCAGTGTGGTCCTCACTAGCACTCTTGCTTGAACGCGCACAACGACCAACCCACGCCCAAGCCCCGACTACCCTGAATCCATCCCGATCATCTGCTAGGGAGCTTCGCATAATATATTCGGCCATCTACACCCGCGCATCGCCATCTCATCGCCCGCCTATTCCTGCATCTCCACCGGATTCCATCCCATTTCAGTGCACACGGCCCGGTACGCGCAACTAGCCCGAGGATAGCTTTTTACTATGCTAACGTCGACTTGCTGTCTTAGCATCTAGGCGCCTGTCCTCTGCTTCGCGTATCTCATCCCCCACCACACTCCGCGCAAACTCGACGCAATTCGCCCTCCATCCCGCCGCACAACCTCGCCGTCACCCGCACATTGAAAATGGCATCCACCGAGTCATCCGGCCCCGTCAACGGCAACTACGCGCCGCAGCAGTACGAGAACAGCTACTCCACCGGCGCCTCCAACTTCACACCCTCGCAGCAGCCCACGCCCAGCCAGCCCGCACAGCAAGCCGCCGCCTCAGAGATCCCCAAGGACGAGGTCGGCTGGTACTTTGTCGAGCAGTACTACACCACCCTGAGCAAGAGCCCGGACCGACTCTACGTAAGTCGCAACTGCGGGAAGGCTTTTCTTGGTGACCACGCGACTGACCCAATTTGCAGCTTTTCTACAACAAGCGCTCCCAGTATGTTTCCGGTGTCGAGGAGGACAAGGTCAACGTCTGCCTAGGCCAGAAGGTACGTGAAGCACGCTCAATTGCAGTCGATGCATGCTGACTCGTGTCTAGGCCATCAACGAGCGCATCAAGGAGCTTGAGTTCAAGGACACCAAGGTCCGCGTTACCAACGTCGACTCGCAGGGCTCCGATGCCAACATCGTCATCCAAGTCATCGGCGAGATCTCCAACCAAGGCCAGCCCCACAAGCGCTTCGTGCAGACCTTTGTCCTCGCCGAGCAGACCAACGGCTACTTCGTCCTCAACGACATCTTCCGCTACCTTGCCGACGAGCCCGAGGAGGACGAGGACCAGCAAGAGCAGGCCGCGCCCCCCAACGGTGTCACGGAGCCCGCTCCCACCGCTGCCGTCCCCGAGAATGCCGACCTCAACCAGAGCGACGAGATCGCGACCAGCGAGGAGGACCTGAACAAGGTGGACAACAAGCTACACCAGGCCGCGCAAGAGGAGCCGTCTGTCGAGGAGGTCGCGCCTGCTGCCCCGGCTCAACAGGTTCCAGAGGAGATTGAGCAGCCCGCTGCTGAGGAGGCACCTGCTGCTGTCGAGGAGAAGGCCGCAGAGCCAACCCCCGCCGCTGAGGAGACCGCCGAGCCCGAGAAGCCTGCCGCTGCCGCCCCGGCCTCCGCCCAAAAGGCTGCCCCCGTTGCCATGCCCTCTGGTCCCCCCAAGCCTGCCGCTCCCCGAACTTGGGCCAGCCTCGCCGCCTCTGCACACAAGGTCGCTACTCCCGTCGTCAACGCCCCCGCCGCTCAGCAAGCTCCTTCGCAGCCCAAGGCCGCTGCCGCCGCTCCTGCTCAAGCCGCTGCTGCTGCACCCAGCCAGACCTCAGCACCTGCTCGTGACCAATCCCCCGCGACAAGCCAGGGCGAGGCTGCTGGCTGGCAAACAGCCACTGGACACAAGAAGGAGCAGTCCCGCGCACAGAACGCAGGACCCGCCGCCGACCCTGACCAGAAGCGCGCTTACATCAAGAACGTCTACAGCCAGGTCGACGACGCTGCTCTGAAGACTGCCCTGACCAAGTACGGCGAGATCGAGTACCTTGACATCAGCCGTGGCAAGGTAAGTAAATGTGCTTCACCACATGGTACCTCAACTAACACCCTGCAGAACTGTGCTTTCGTCGACTTCAAGACACCCGCTGGCTTCCAAGCTGCCGTCGCAGCCAACCCCCACACGATCAACGGCATTGAGATCAAGGTCGAGGAACGCCGCCAGAACCCCGGCCAGTTCAACAGGGGAGGAGGATTCCCTCGTGGCGGTGCTCCTCGCGGCGGCCGTGGCGGTATGGGTGGTCAAGCACCCCGTGGCAACTTCCAACCTCGGGGACGCGGTGGACCCATGCGTGGCGGTCGCGGCGGTGCTGCTCCTCAGGAATCATAGGAGGCTTCACGCGCTGCTTACTCCCTCGTTCCTTTTGCCATTCTTCTTCTATCTCTTGTTGAGTCGGTTTGACTCGATGGCCTCACGACTGACGGCTTTAGCCATGTACTGTACCGACCCCCTTTCAGCGCTTGTATAAAAGTCATTTCATTTCGAGGAAAAGTCTGGGCGTACGCGTTCGTCTTAGGGCTCTGAGCCCTTGCATAGCGAGTGGTTTCGTTTCTGCATGTTTCCTTTCTGTATCCGTGTATATCCGTTCAGCCGTTTTCGAACATATTCCCTTCTTCGCGGTCGCATTCTTCGTCAAGTAATGTTTAGGGAAGGCTATCTGGGGGTTCCTGGGTACGGGCTAGGGATGTCATAGCATCTGGTGTAATGGGTGTACAGCATAGCTTCGGCGACAACAGGATCGGACGGGGAAGGGCAGTCAAATCGTGAGATGATCTGGTACGAATACAATAAATGATATACGCTCCAACACGGTGTAGATGTACTAGAGTGAGGTTGTCTGGTGATTGCTGATAACGTCACCTGATAGGTCTAGTGCGACGCAAGATGTGCCTAGTGCTGCGCTGACCGTTGATTCGAAGACGCGCAATCACCTGCATCAGCAACAGCCCATAAGCTTCAAGCCGCGCCAGCCTGCGTTTCGTGCATACGAAAGACTCGTACCCTGAGACCCTGATAATCCAGCTACTGCTCTTCCTCACACTCCACTTAATTAACGCTGGCGCATTATCACGAGGCTAAGGTCGCAGTAGATCGCGCGGGGCTAAGCGGGGCCGTCGCGCGACGTGCATCACATCACCACTCGGTATCTACTGAAGCTGACCAAGTCTCTCGCTTTCAACCCGCTGTACTCACCTACTCTGCAACATATGCCCCAGGAGCTCTGCAAAGATGCGACCGCTACCGGGCGGCGACGCCCTGCCTGCTACTGTTCGGCCGCGATCTCGTAAATCAAGCGTCGATCATCCTACCGCCCCTTCGAGCAATGTCCCCACTACCTTCGTCATGAAGCGCGTCGGGGATTTGGAGCACACCATGGTTCCTCCTCACAGCGCGACTGCTGCAGCAAAGCAGCAGGATAGTACATTCGGAGTCCAGAGTCTTGCCGATACTTTGGAGGCTGCTTTCGGCCCAGAAGGTACAGATCCAGAAAAGGCTAGTAAGACGCAGCATCATGGGGCAAAGAGTTCAAGATCCGAGTCGCATAGCTCTTCGACAGATTCAGCCACACCGCCAGACAGATCCAGGATAACTTCGGTACGGAAACTGAGGAGAAACTACACGAAAAATGACTCGATTACACACTTTAAACTTCCCGCCGCCAGCGTCGACGTTCCTTCCCCACTCCCCACGTCCGCTATGGGGAGTACACCGAGGTCCGCTTCGATAACGTCGCTCAAGCTGTCCGATGAGGAGTTTGCCATGGATGATGCTGCGAGCCAGGCCGTTGTTTCGAGTGGAGAGGAGGAAGAGCAGGTAGAGGTGCAGCCGGACATGGCGAGCTTTCCACAGCTGGTCATGCCTGAGATGCAGATGCCAACCAGGAGGCCTTTCACAACCAGAGGCAAGGCTATGGGAAAGCTGAGAGTTATGGTGGCGGGCGAGACAGGTGCGTTGTAGTCGAAACATGCGATATCATCTCGGTAGAAAGCGCTATACTGACAAGTACTACGAAGGTGTCGGCAAATCGTCCCTCATTCGGTCCATCGTTCAGGCCTGCGAAGACATCGTACACGTAGATCCTCTATCGCCCTCCCAGCCGAGCGCGCCTTCACGCCCAACGAAGTCGAAATTCCGCACAAAGAAAGCCGAGCATGCGGTCACAACCCGGGTGACTGAGATACATGCGAGCACGAAGCCTTACCCTCATTGGTGGACTGATACCGAAGAGAGCGGCATTCTGCGAAGAAGAAAGAGCAGTATGGATACTGTCTTGGAGAGAAACATATGTTTCGTAGACACGCCTGGGTACTCACAAGGCTCTGCGGAGAAGGATATAAGCATGGTGATAGACTATGTCGAGTCGCTGTTATACCAGACCTCATCAGTAACAACGCTAGAAGACAATGATGTGCTTGGGGTCGTCAGTGGTAGTGGGGGCGTCCTAGTTGACGTCGTCATATACTTGCTCCCACCAAGTAAGCCAAACCATCGTTCGTACTTTCATTCTTACTGACTTCACCCAGATCGAGACATCACGAAAGATGTTGAGTACATGCAAAGGCTATCGCACTTTACCAACGTCGTGCCTGTAATTGCCAAATCAGACACACTTTCGGCGCAAGAAGTGGTAGCCCTAAAGACGTCCATACTCGCACGGCTGCAAACCACTGCTCTTAGACCCTTCTTCTTCGGAAAGGCTATGGACGATGCCTTACTCGCCGTACAGGGCCTTCCGGTCGCTAGGACTTCGGGATCAGGAGCGCCAAGTGAGGCAGCTGAATACCCCTTCACTACACCAACCTATCCTTACGCCGTCTCCTCGACGTCTGGTCCCGACCACGATAACATGGATGCGTCCTTGCTCATGTCGCCCGACTACGTGCAGCCTCTTCTTCCCTCTGAACTCGCTCCACTAGTCAACCAGGTATTCGATCCTGACTCCATTGCGTGGCTTCGGTATTCAGCAGCGAAGAAGTTCTTGGCATGGCGGCGCAGGATTAAGCTACCAGGCGACTCTGTAATGCTACAGAGTCTAGCTCAACCACGTAGTCCGACAACGGCTTCAGTCGGACTGAACGGAGCCCACCTGAATTGTAAGATCATCTCCCTGCCACATTGTGCAAGCTAACCTCTTTATCAGCATCCGCAGCATCCTCAGTATTCTCCGCTGCATCGCCATCAGGTGTCCTGGTACCCGGATCAGGATCACCATTCTACCCATCGAACCTACAATCCCCTCTCCTCGCCTCCTCTCCCTCCCTAGCCAACTCCGAGTCTCTCGAGCCCCTTGGCAACTTTTCACTGGCAAGATACAACAACACTGCGCAAGGCGAGCAGCGCCTCAACGAAGTACGGATAGCAAGATGGGCAACAGATCTGCAGCGCAGCCGACGAAACGAAAGAGAACGATTCGAGGAACTCCAGAGCAACGACAGGGCTAAATGGCTGCTCGAGCGCGTCGGCGAAGAGGTATCGAAGGGCACGATCGTCGCATCGCCTGGCGAGTTACCGAGAGCTGAATGGGCGGTAGTCAGACGCAACAGCGACGAGAAGAAGACTGTTAAGGTCAGTCAACGCTATGCCAAAGCTGTTGGGCTGGACTCGCGAGATCCGCTTGGCCTGTGCAATTTCGGCGACGAATTAAGGCGACAGAGCTTCGTTCTCGTGAAGGTGCTAGGCGGCATGAGCGTGTTGGGTGCTGTCGTCGTGGCTGTCGTTAGGGCGTGCGGCATTGAGACTGGGCTGCCTCAGCTCGGCTGGTGGGAGTGGATTACCAACTCGGAGTGATTGGCCACTGTTGCTCGCTGCACGTATGTCTCTCCATGAGCTTTATATCATGTATGATGTGATACCTTATAGACACTCTTCTACATTGTAGCTTGACGGGACATCTCGAGTCTAGGGAATAGAATCATACTCTACGAGGAATGTGTGCTCGAGTTTGATATCGGTGACATTGTTGCAGTGATGGTAGAGTGTGTTTTCAATACGCCGGCTTGATGATGTGGGTCATGATGTGATGCTTCGTCATTGCAATCGGGAATGCCGTACACATAGCTTAGAAGTAAGAAATTGGGTCATTCGCTGTGGGTTGGGTAGATTGGTCGGGGATAGCATGCCACACTCCAGACTGACACGGGCTGCTGATAGTATAAAACGGAGTGCCTTAATCCCATCAGTCGACTAAGCGAAGACAGCCTCATGGGTAATGTAGTAAGGCATGGCGCATCAGCTAGTGTTGGGTGTGTAATCAATACTTCTAGAGAGCGTTGGGGGTGACGCCTGTCGAATTCATTGACTGGCGGCGTCTCAGTGAAGAAGCAAGTGTGGGTGCTGAGTAGCGGCACGAATTTGTACAGCATGCACGTTGTACCAAGTCGACGATGTGCATCAACTATTCAACGCCCAGTAGAGCTCCGTGGTCTAGTAAGCATGAATGGTCCGTGAGCCCTTAATGGGCTGGCGCTTCAGCGAGTGCAAATCAGACCTGGCTCGTTGCTAGAATGCCTATTGAGGTGTGCAGATGCACCTGGACCGTTGGGACTCGGTCATATCATCTCCATCCAATAGCCACATATTTCGCCCTTTCTTGGATAATGCAAGTTGATCTGGTGCCCTCCGCTCGATCGCAGCGTGCCTTCGATGCTGCAGCTCCGCCACCGGATGGGTGTGAAAGAAGTATGGAGCGGGGCGCTGGTCTGCAGTGCATCGTGCCGGAAAGAGAAAGAGCTATTCATTAGATACATGACGTGATATCATACGTGTATTTGTTGAGTGCTGTGGCGGGGAGCGAGAGACGGAGATGGGCACTGCGTACTGCCTTGCCATCCGGATTCTGCGTAGGGGGTGTATGGAACCCTGTCAGTATAAGCATACTACCGCCTATCGCGTCCCGCTAGTAAGGTCATGACATTTTCCGCTTGTCACGATTATTGGGGCTGGATCGTGGGAACTGATCTGAGCTCCCGCGAAAGGGTGTGATAGGCCAAATGAGGGTGTTGGGACGCAGATGTGAGTCTGACGGGGGGCATGGGCCTTTGATGCAATTCGAGCGTCTGGGTGTGCTATGGGACTCAGAGATCTCTTGTGCGCGGATCGGAGATGGTTGTTCTGCGGCGTTCACTCACGTTTGTCTCTACGTGGTCTATTTTGACCTGCACATCCACGAGATTAAGTTGCAGCAAAATTTATACACATTGCAAAGGGCATTAGCAGGCATTTTATCCGGTCGTGTTATATTTGGGGGTGGCTGTTCTATTGTTCTTGTATTAGGGTTGAGAGCTGATCATGTTTGGGCTCAGATATGCGGCATCTCAACACTTCAAGAG